CGTCTGAGCCCCCCCCCCCTCCCCAACTCAAAAGAAATTTCCTCATCGATACTCTATAATAAAATTACCGCCTAATTAATGTGTCTAATCTAAAAAGTGGTTTTCTTGCAATGGGACGGTAGACATGTTTTTTTTGGGGAAGGGGGGGGGGGGTGGAGGGGTGGGGGGGGTGTGTGTGTGTGGGGGGGGGGTGGTGTGTGGGGTGGGGGTGGGGGGTGGTGTGTGTGGGGGGGGGGGTGGGGTTGGTTTCAGTGTTTCTTTCAGACTTTTTCCTCCCCGGAGAGGGGTGGGGGTACTTGAAATTTTCGGGGGCGGGGGTAGAATTTTCTGGGAGGGGGCGGACACTGGAAAAAGTATATAATTATATTTCGTTGAATGGGACGGTAGACTTGTTTTTTTTGGGGGTGGGGGGGTGGGTGGAGGGGTGGGGGGGGAGGTGTGTGGGGGGGGGGATGGGGGGGGTGGTGTGTGTGGGGGGGTGGGGGGTGGTGTTTGGGGGGGGTGGGAGGTGGTGTGTTGGGGGGTGGGTTGGTTTCAGTGTTTCTTTCAGACTTTTTCCTACCCGGAGAGGGTGGGGGGTACTTGAAATTTTCGGGGGGCGGGGGTAGAATTTTCTGGGAGGGGGCGGACACTGGAAAAAGTATATAATTATATTTCGTTGAATGGGACGGTAGACATGTTTTTTTTTTTGGGGGGTGGGGGTGGGGGGCGGTGTGTGGAGGGGGTGGTGTGTGGGGGTGAGGGGTGGGAGTGGGGGTTGTGTGTGGGGGTGGGGGGTGGGGTGGGGGTGGGGGTGGTGTGTGGGGGGGGGTGGGGGGTGGGGGTGGGGTGGTGTGTGTGGGGGGGTGGGTTGGTTTTAGTTTAGAGAAAAGAGACAGCACTATCAGCCTAGCGCCCGTTGTACCCTTCCTCAACGGGCCATTTTTCTCGTGGTGGAGTCAAGAAGAGCAGAATTACGGCAACGATAAAGGGCAGATAAATCGTGCTATTTTTTTTTTTGGCACAAGATAGTAGGTTAAAGGTCAAGTAAATGCTGCTAGGACAGGATAAAAGTTGTATTTAGAAACAGGCCGATGACGTAATATTTACGTCATCATCTGAAGCTGTTCAACACTAACTTTGTACAGAACTATCCAAGCAGTACGATTAAGTCTTTCTGGTCATTGCCTTAGCCTAACAAAATAGTCATTAGCTCCCAGATTTTTTAAAGGTTCCGGACATATTTTTATTGCTTTAAAAAAAATAACATCGCAATGAGGAGAACAAGATTTTAAAAAAAAAAAAATTTCCAAAGGTCGGCCTAAAAAAAGTCAACAGTTTGAATTTAAATTTTGTAACGGACTGTGAAAAAGTGGAATTATATGGAACTAGTGTCTTTAAATACAAGGGCGGGGTTATTTCTTCATTCATAAAACAACCTTTTCACTGGATGTTCAGGCGTGAAGGAACATGCTTTAAGTTTCAAAGTTAATCCAGTTTATTTTAAAGTTGAAAAATGATTAAGTTCACTAGTTAAAACAATAACAAAAATACCCTGAGACAACAGGTTAGAAAGTACGAGCGCCTTCACGTACAGCTAGTGACGTGGCGTGTTTAGGGAGTGACTGAGAATAGAGAAAACAGAAATTCGCCAGAAAAAAATGCCAACTGTGTCACTAGCTCAAAGATGTACACTATTTATTTATTTTTTGGGGAGGGGGGGGGGCGCAATCAGACTAAGCACGTCACATTTTGTAGACTGAGTTTTGTCAAATAAGACGGCTCGGAGCTAGAAAATGTTAATATCGTGTGGGAAGACCGGACACTGGTAAAAGTTTATATTTTCTGTATATATTCTATTGTAACCTTATCAAAACCTTAACCCTAACTCTGGAACACGTTGGTCGTTCTTAACTGACGTCAGTCAAGTTTGGTCTTTTTAGAAACTCTACTCTCCAATCGTGATATAAAAACTTTCTAAATTGACGTCGCAGTTCCATACCCTATATATTATCTCCGTGTCACAATATTTTTAACGTGCAATAAGCGTGTTTTAGTTACGTCTTATTAATCCTACCCCCTACCCCTCTTCCAGGTAACTGGAAGTCTGAATCACATTTGTGGACACCCCTTAACTATTCTTAAAAAGACGCAAATATGTTCGATCTATATGCAGCCACACTTTATTGTACAGATTTTTCACGTTGAATTTGAATAATAATAGGCCTACTGTACAAAAGTCACTAGAACTAGTGGTATTAAACCCAGAAGCCTCTGTGTAGGAAACAGTACAGTGGAGTAAACAGTTTAGTTTATTTGTTCCTAGCATATGCCTTATGCTTGCCATATTAGAAACCTATAATGAATGTATAAGAGTTCAAATAAATTGAATGAAAATTTGCTTAGGGCATCAACATCAAATATATAATGGCAGCAAAAAGAAGTAAACGACACTTCTTAACTAACATAGGTAGGCCCAGAGTTTCTTCCAGGCATCTCTTCGGGGGGGGCGAAGCCCCCCCCCCCCCCCCGAAATTTTTTTACCGCCTCCCCGGAGCCCCCCCCCCCCCCCCCCGAAAAAATTTTACCGCCCCCCCGAACGAAATGAAATTTATATAATTTATATAGAAAATATATACTTTTAACAGTGTCCACCCCCCCCCCCCCCCCCGAAGAAAGTTTACCGCCCCCCCCCCCGAAGATTTCAAGTGCCCCCCCCCCCCCCCCCCGGAGAAAAAAGTCTGGAAGAAACACTGGGTAGGCCGAGAGACACTAGCAGAAACAAAAGGAAAGTTGATGGCATCACTTTACTTCGTGTCACGTTCAGCCTTGGGTTGATTAAAAAGTGGTATCAATGTCGGCTCACGCGATAAGAATGCGATTACTTGGCATATCCATCGGAATGGTTATGAGCTAATGAAATTATCTTCCAATGGTCGTGAAATAGTCAACCACAATCCTTTAAAAGTAGGCCTACTGAACTAAAATACATTATGTTATAGTACTTATATTCGACCTAAAAAATAGTTAGAATTTCCTTTGAGAGCTAGATTTAGATCTCTAGATGGAGTTCTAACAAAAATTTAAAAAGGACTTTCTACTTCTAACGTTGTAATTTTTAAATACAGTTCTATTATAGACTTAATATCGTCTAGATCTAGATCTATATTGTAAATTTATCCTCAGCAATCACCCGATATTATTAATTTTAATATCTTTTTTTAAATATCTATTTTTAAACATGACTTGCAGACCCCGTTCCCGCCCCAGTCCGTGTCAAGTCCATCTCCTTACAGCAGTATAGTGGACCTGACTGACCAATTTTCTGACCTCAACCTCTCTCAAGATAGGAGACTTGGTAAACGGCCACCCACCTCCTACCTTTGCCATCTGTGTTTCACTAAGGGACACTACATCAAGGATTGTCCTCAGGTTTAGTTAACTCCCTTTATTAAAATTTTAAAATAATTTTAATTAATATCTTTTTTTCAGTAAACAAATAAAAAATAGTTCAGTTTATTTTTTATCTAATTTCCATTCTGTTTTAATAAATTTCTACTTTCTTATTTCTTAGGAACAGACACAGCAGAATATTATTTTCTTAAACAGTTTGTCATGTTCTAATAAGTAATCTATATCTTGTAGCATTTCTTCCCTCTATTCTTTTTGTTAATTCTAATGTAAATGTAGGTTTGATTAAACATCACAACATTATAAACACACCAGAATAATTTTATTACACAAGTTCATTAACAATAATAATTAATTAATTAATTAACAAACAATTATTATAATGAGGATAGAACTGATTTTGTGGTGATGCATAGACCAAAAACAGATTTAGCACCTTACATCATTTTAATTAAGCAATTATGCACACTTTTCCAATACTATTTATAATTTAAACATAGTTAATTAAATACTTCTAGCATAAGAAAAACTCTCATCAATTGGGTTTTTAAAAGTTTTCTCTCAAAATTATTAAATCTCCACTTAGCATATTAATAGAATCCCAATTGTCTGTAGTTACATTTGATAAATCAGTAATGAACTTTGCTCTAAGGCTCAAACAGAAAGAATGTTTGCTTTGTGTCCTGAACCTATGCAGCACTGCTATGGCCTTGTTGAACTCTTCAGTGTCAGAAATGTCAAAACAACAACTTTTCAAATCATTTAAAGACTGTTTTGAAAACAATGTGCATGAATATATAAATACATGACATGCTTTGACTTTATAATGATCCTATAAAAGTTAACCTATAAAAGCTGTTCATGAACACTATGAATAGTATTGTTGAAAATATTAGCTTGATTTAAAAAAAAATATTATTATCTTGGCTAAGCCAAGAATTTTAGGCTTAGATCTTTATATTGTACCTATGTTAGGGAAAATATAAATGTACATCATTACTACACACTTTTTCTAGTTTACTTTCTTTTAAATATCTAAGTTTTTCAGTCTATATTTACTAACCTGTTAGTTAACTAACTATAATTAATATAAAAGTTGGTGTTAAAGTGAAATCTGTTTCACCTTACCAGGCAAGGCCCAAAGGTGAAGGTCTCACGCCCTACCAGGGTAAGAAGAGATGTTTCGGAGAGTATAAATGCCCCAAATGTAAGCGCAAGTGGATGAGTGGCAACAGCTGGGCCAATATGGGGCAGGAGTGCATCAAGTGTCATATACTGGTCTACCCTCATAAACAGGTACACACAACTTTCACTACCCTCATAAACAGGTACACACAACTTTCACTACCCTCATAAACAGGTACACACAACTTTCACTACCCTCATAAACAGGTACACACAACATTCACTACCCTCATAAACAGGTACACACAACTTTCACTACCCTCATAAACAGGTACACACAAACATCACTAGAACACAGGTCTACCCTCATAAACAGGTACACACAACATTCACTACCCTCATAAACAGGTACAAACATCCCTTAACACAGATCTACCCTCATAAACAGGTACACAACCTTCACTACCTTCATAAACAGGTACAAATATACATCACTAGAACACAGATCTACCCTCATATACACACAACTTTTACTAGAACACAGACTACCCTCATAAACAGGCATACACAACAGAACATAGGTACACTGATTTAATTAGGATAATAGTTCAACATATTTTATAATTAGAACAGGTAGGCCTAGACACACTTCATTATGATACTTATTTCATTATAAGAACAGGTAATGATATACAGGTCTACCCTCATTAACAGGTACACACAACTTGGGCTAAAACTGTCATACACTAATTTAATTATGATAACAGTTCCACATATTTTATGATTAGAACAGGTGTACAGTTTCCATTATGATATTATGTACACATATTTCATATAAGAACAGGTGCAGCTATTTAATACAACATGTACACAGTATAACATTTACACATTTCTTTATAACCTGTCCACACATCTTACAAATGAATTTCAATAAAAACCACTTCACATTTCATAATAAGTAAAGTAAGTAAAGTTCCCTTTTTAAACCTGACTGTCTATAGGTCAAGTGAAGTAGAGTTCACTTGTTTCTGTGACCTCGGCATATGAAGGGATAGTGTGGTCAGCACTATGCCCAGCCGCCTTTGCTTTCCCTAACTTGAGTTAGGTACTCATGTGAGTTTGGTGGACTCAGGGATGGTCTACTGACTTGAACCCGGATTCGATCTCGTCACATTTCATTATAGCTGCAGCTATTTTATAGTGATAATTGAAAAACTTACTTTTTAAAATCTTTATCAGTAATAATATTACGTCTCAATTTTCATGAATAAATGATAGTATCTTTCTTTCTTCAGAGACCCTTGGAAAAGCCAGACGGCCTTGATGTCTCAGACCAGAGCAAGGTCCACCCCCAACACCTGTGTGAGAAATGCAAGATGCTAGGCTACTACTGCAGACGTGTCAACTGATTGCTTTGTTACACTCAGGCCTGACATCAGCCATTTGCTTGTTTGTTTTTTTTATTCCTGGCACAATCTGTGGGTGTTCCCATATTTTTATCATTTGTTTGTGAATACTTTATGATTCCTTCTCAATATTCAGTTAAAGGCCAGCAATGAATAACATAATTGTTTCGTGAAATATTTCCATGTTTTTACTTGAAAAATGTTAAATTAGAGCAAAGTCTATCCAACTTTTCAGTTTTGGCTGTTTGTTTTGCTTTGTCAGCAAATATTTTTCACTTTTTATAAAATTGTGTTTAATTATGCATTATGATGCCGGTATTTAATTACTGACCAATTATTGATGAATAAGAAAGAGAATGTACTTCCACAGACATTAATAAACATAATTAAATGAACAAGTCACATATTTTAACCATTGAAACAATGTATTAATTGCTTCAGTAACATCTTGAATTAAATGATAAAACAAGATGGTAAATTTATATATGAATTTGTATCAGGAATAGAAAGTTTATTTTAAAAATTGTTTACATTTTAAAATCAGTTGAAATTTTTAGATTTGTCAAAAGTTACAATTTAGCATACATTTTTTGTGAGAACTCTTTCTTGTGGAAAACAAGTTTTTTATTGTGTTTTGCAGAAGTGGAAGCCAAGCATTCCTTTTCATATGCAATTTTCAATTTCACATTCGAAACATTAGAGACCAACGATTATTCCGTGAGCTTTTGTGTACTGGAGCTTACTGCAAAATATTTCTTTGTTTTCAAATTATCTTCCTATTTTTAGTCTTCCCAAGATTTCCCATTCTTTTGTATATATTTGAAAACATCACAACCAAACAAGGCTGCTGGGAATGTATTGTACTGTGTATAAATTTGGATCCATCTCTGTGTAGGAAATGAGATATTGACACAATTTTTGTGTAGTACAATGGAACATACTAATCTATTTACCTATAAATACTGTCAATAAATTGTGTGTTACTGCTGACAAAGACATGCATCACAAACTGAATTTTTAAAAATCATGTTGCCATTTTTCGTTTGTTTTTTGTTGTCTAAACATTTTAATCAAAATAAAATGTTTGATTTTGAGAGTATTTTTATGACAATTACAAGAATCAGCCTTTCTGATTCTGTTGAAAAAGCCAAAAATTATTTGGCTTGTTTTTTTTTTATTGTTCTGTTTTACATATTAATTTTATTGATAATTTTGAGCTGTTACTAAAAAATGCCTTTTCTATTTTCTAAACTGTTACAACAAGATGCCTTTATAAAATATTACAAAAAGAGACTACTTTTTTAAAAAACTGTTACAAAAGAAGACCTTACTTTTTTAAAAAAAACTTTACAAACGGCTGCTTTACTTTTTAAAATTTACCCAAAAAAACCTGACGTTAATAAAAACATGGTGATTTCTCATCAAAGTGTAGAAGAGATATTTTGTCTTTTTTTTTTCTAGCAGATATGTAGGCCTGTATATTTTCCCCTCCCCAATAGACTTCTTTACAAGACATTGGTCATATAACCAATTTTTTTTAAAACCTATTCAAATTGTGTTGATTGGTTAGTCTATCAAGAAATGTAACAGAATCATCCAACCAATGGGCTGTCTTATATATTTGATCTGTGTTACCTTTTCTAAAAAAAAGTGATTGGGACAATATTTATACCAAAATTAATTTTATGAATTACACTACTATATACTCTAAGTGCCTTCTGGGTGTAATGCATACAATTTATCCACTCTGATGTGCCAAAATAAGATTTTTAAAAATAATTACAAAATGTTGACAACTTGTTTTGTTCTAAACAGATGATTTGAGACATTATTTCCTATGTTTATGGTTTGTTGTAAGTTTGTGGTATGGAAACCCCTTTTACAAGTGACTAATTAACAATTTAGCTATTTTACTATACTGGTACAGGTTTGTTTTATGCATTGAAGTGACAAGCTTGTTATATAGGATGTTATTGTTTTAAGATGTTAAGTAACATCAATAGGATAGAAAATTGTCATTTTTCTGTTTGTGGAAATATATATCCTAAATCTAGTCATTTTACAACTCACATTTTAATTTTATTTTATGGCAATGAATTAATATTCAAAATTCTAAAATTGTGAAAAAATGAATTGGAAACACTGTGCCAGTTACCTCCCCTCAGTAGCATGCACAACATGCCAGAGTTTTGCTCATTTGATTTGTATATTTTTGTTTTTCTTTGCATATCTATGCTACACATGTGTATATCTATGATGATGTGTCTTAACATTTTTAATTTTAAACTAGTTTTATTTATTTTATAAGAAGCAAACAGAAAAAAGTAATATTTTAATTTATTAATAATGTAAAACATAATACAGCAAACAGATTCAATCATTTAACATTTCTCATTTTAAAGGTGTATACAGTAAACAGAACTGATAAAAACAAACTGATATGAATGGTTACATTAAGTTTCAATAAAACTAAATATAATTCAAAATATGCCTATAAATAACATTAAGCTATTCAACACTCAGGAAATAACATAAAGCTATGCAAACACATTTGTATTAAACTAATCAAAAACATATTTCACTAAAAAGAAAGATCACTCTGAAAAGATTAGAGTTACTATCCCTGTATAAACCTCAGTTGCTTTGATCTTGTTTTATTGCTTTCTGTGTAGAAATCATTCCATTAAATCTAAGCCAAATAAAAAACCCAACTAAACTTATTGTCTATAAGATGTGCTTAAAAATGTAAACATTCATTTATACCAAGAACTTGAACAACAAATAATTTTTAAGCAAGGCACTGTGGAATATTAGCATATTTTTAGCAATATTTTAAAATATTGTAAACAAGTCATTAAATTTGAGTTTTGATTTAAAAATGACTTTGATCTATCACACATTTTAATGTAAACAAAGCTTGAAAAATGTTGACCTTTAAACAAACATCAGCATATTTTTAAAAAGTTTGGAAAAATCAATGACATGCTGCCCACTAGGAGAATAGAATGGAAGTTTTTACAAAAGTGGAAGTTTTTACAAAGATGTCGCTTTATGTTTTTTTGCCAACCATTTTTTTCTTGCATGATGGTTTTTGCTTCTAATTATAACCCACTATTAGTTTTTGTCCTAAATAAAGAAAGTGAAAACTTTTGATACACGTTGTGTTCGGTCTGTCTGTCCCATATGACGTGTGTGCTACTGGGTGTGTATAGCACATACACATATCCAATCAAAACAAGTGTTATACGTGTGACCAGTAATAATAAATGGCATATAACAATTGGCATGGATTTGCCTGGTAATAACAAGAGGTACAAATCTACCTCATGATAACAATTAGCTAACATTTTCACCTGATGACTGGCATACATTAGAGCCACATTACTGTGTGAAACATGCTGGCACCTTCAATACAATAAATCTCTGCCATTTTTCCAAGTAGAGTAAAGTCCCTTTTCGAACCTAACAGTCAATGGGGTAAGTGAAGTAGAGTTAACCTGTTTCTGGAAGTATAGTGTAGTCACAACTATGCCTAACCGTCTTAACATTCCCTAATGTGAGTTAAGTACCCATCAGAGCTGGGTGGACTCAGGGACATTCTACTGACATGAATCCCATATTCAAACTTACGACTTTCTATCGCTAGGCAATGCCGTCCCCTCCAAGTAGAGTGATACAGAAATTTTTACCAGCAACTATCTAATTTAATTTTTTTTACAATGCATTATGTAAACAATCTATAAACAGACATTATAAAAATATGTGTATAACAATTTTAAATCACACCAACAACTAAAATGGTGTAACTATCATAAGCAAACATTAGTTATTATATTTGTATAACTATCAGAAAATACCTCATTAATTTTAAGTTTAGATTTAATTATAAAATTCATGTTACATAATATTCTCTCAAATAATACTACTCTAGATGACATATAAATTCTACAGAAAACAACTCAACAATGATAAAAATGTTAAATTCTTATAAACACATCTGAAGGCATAGTCAACAATATATGATGCATACAATTTGATAGTCAAACAACATATGATGTTTAATATAATCTGATGTGAAAAAAGCTTTAGAAAACTTGAGGTTAACAAATAAGCATCATCACAACAAGCCTGAGACTGTTATACATACAGATATATATATATATATATATATATATATATATATATATATATATATATATATATATATATATATATATATATATATATATATATATATATATATATATAAATATATATCATTAAGACAAATCTCTGACTGTATTTTTATAGAATTGTTCACTTAAAACCCACTCTTAGAAACCTTTGTGACATGTTGCTCAACATAAACTGACCAAATAAACTGCCAACATACAGATATAGTCACTCAGACTCACACTTTTACAACCATGTATACATAAGCTAACCACATATATAAGCTAACCACATTTACCTCCTTGCTAACATGAATTGCTCATCTAAACAATCACATAATCATACTCAAAAAACATGTTTATGAAGTCATGAATAGTGAGGAATGCTGATCTTGGTGAATTTTTTATTTTCAAAAACTGAAATTTAAAAAAAAGAGAAATCTTTAAATTGGAAATAAAAATGCAGAAATGTATTACAAAAAAGAAGGTGCAATAAAATAAAAGTAGCTATGAATAAAATTCTAGTTAAGGTAAAGACATGTGTGCTGTTGTAAATTGGCTAACAGTCTGGTCAAATGCAAGTATTTCAACACGTTTCATTATTTAACAATCAAAATTCTTTAACACACTGACCTAATCTTCAGTTATCATTACACGACATTCATCAGAATTTGCTTTGTTGAGGAAATATGATTCTCCAGATGATTTTGATTTGGTTTTGATTTGAAATTTCTTGGTTTTTCCTTTGTTTATTTGTTCTCTTTTCTGAAACATTTGTCTGGAGAAAAAAAAATCAATCATTAAATAAAGGAGAAAAGTAACATAAAAACAAACTTTTCCTTCCTAAGATAAATGCTTTTTATACTTAAACAAATCTATTCTATGTAGAGATTAATAATTTCACAGAAATAATATTACATTGGTGTTAAGTTTTTTTTCTCAACATATTCAGTCAATAAAAATTATATATAAATTACTTATATAAAAAAAAAATTCCTTATCTTATTTGACCTTACAACAAATAACTTACAAAAATTCAAATTCTGGCCTCTTCATTTGCATGCAAAGTTTGAGTGGCATCTGATAGAAATCTGCGTTGGATGTGAAGTCTATGTTGCTCTGGGCCTCCCCACTGAAGGACAGGCCTAGGTTGAGCAGAGCGGAGTTGAGCTGCATGGAACCTTCCAGGTAGATGGCACCACTGAAGGTAAACATGGTCAGTCTTTTTAAAATGTTACAATTGTCAAACTTTAAACCCAATACACAACAGCAAAATTTTACTAATTTATCAAACTGTTAATTTATTCAAATCTGAAACCATTAATTTAAATAATTTTGAAGAGTTTGTCTGACCTGTTTCTGATTAAGGCCTCACAGTTTCTGTTCCACAGGCTGATGCTGACATAACCGGATAAATCCATGGACAACACACCTGTGACATCTGTATCCAGCACTAATCCATTGGAGAGATGAAACTTCTGGGAATGGTCTTGGAGAAGAGTGTTTCCCTAGGAGATAGGATGTAATAACAATGAATTAACTCCACATGTTTGACCTGACATAGATTTTAATTAAAAGCTGAGGTCAAGATGGAGGGTTATAGTTTACCTGTAAAACTGAGGTCAACTCTAATGGAGGGTGAAAGTTTACCTGTAAAACTGAGGTCAACTCTAATGGAGGGTGAAAGTTTACCTGTAAAACTGAGGTCAACTCTAATGGAGGGTGAAAGTTTACCTGTAAAACTGAGGTCAACTCTAATGGAGGGTGAAAGTTTACCTGTAAAACTGAGGTCAACTCTAATGGAGGGTGAAAGTTTACCTGTAAAACTGAGGTCAACTCTAATGGAGGGTGAAAGTTTACCTGTAAAGCTGAGGTCAACTCTAATGGAGGGTGAAAGTTTACCTGTAAAGCTGGGGTCAAGATGGAGGGTGAAAGTTTACCTGTAAAGCTGAGGTCAACTCTAATGGAGGGTGAAAGTTTACCTGTAAAACTGGGGTCAAGATGGAGGGTGAAAGTTTACCTGTAAAGCTGAGGTCAACTCTAATGGAGGGTGAAAGTTTACCTGTAAAACTGGGGTCAAGATGGAGGGTGAAAGTTTACCTGTAAAACTGGGGTCAAGATGGAGGGTGAAAGTTTACCTGTAAAACTGAGGTCAACTCTAATGGAGGGTGAAAGTTTACCTGTAAAACTGGGGTCAACTCTAATGGAGGGTGTAAGTTTACCTGTAAAGCTGAGGTCAACTCTAATGGAGGGTGAAAGTTTACCTGTAAAGCTGGGGTCAAGATGGAGGGTCAAAGAAGTTTACCTGTAAAACTGAGGTCAACTCTGATGGAGGGTGAAAGTTTACCTGTAAAACTGAGGTCAACTCTGATGGAGGGTGAAAGTTTACCTGTAAAACTGGGGTCAAGATGGAGGGTGAAAGTTTACCTGTAAAGCTGAGGTCAGGATGGAAGGTGAAAGTTTACCTGTAAAACTGGGGTCAAGATGGAGGGTCAAAGAAGTTTACCTGTAAAACTGAGGTCAACTCTGATGGAGGGTGAAAGTTTACCTGTAAAACTGAGGTCAACTCTGATGGAGGGTGAAAGTTTACCTGTAAAACTGGGGTCAAGATGGAGGGTGAAAGTTTACCTGTAAAGCTGAGGTCAAGATGGAAGGTGAAAGTTTACCTGTAAAACTGGGGTCAAGATGGAGGGTGAAAGTTTACCTGTAAAGCTGAGGTCAAGATGGAGGGTGAAAGTTTACCTGTAAAGTGAGGTCAAGATGGAGGGTGAAAGTTTACCTATAAAGCTGAGGTCAAGATGGAGGGTGAAAGTTTACCTGTAAAGCTGAGGTCAACTCTAATGGAGGGTGAAAGTTTACCTGTAAAGCTGAGGTCAAGATGGAGGGTGAAAGTTTACCTGTAAAGTTGAGGTCAAGATGGAGGGTGAAAGTTTACCTGTAAAGCTGAGGTCAACTCTAATGGAGGGTGAAAGTTTACCTGTAAAGCTGAGGTCAACTCTAATGGAGGGTGAAAGTTTACCTGTAAAACTGGGGTCAAGATGGAGGGTGAAAGTTTACCTGTAAAGCTGAGGTCAAGATGGAGGGTGAAAGTTTACCTGTAAAACTGAGGTCAACTCTAGGAATAAATTTACCTGTAAAGCTGAGGTCAACTCTGATGGAGGGTGAAAGTTTACCTGTAAAGTGAGGTCGAGATGGAGGGTGAAAGTTTACCTGTAAAGCTGAGGTCAACTCTAATGGAGGGTGAAAGTTTACCTGTAAAGCTGAGGTCAAGATGGAGGGTGAAAGTTTACCTGTAAAGCTGAAGTCAACTATAATGGAGGGTGAAAGTTTACCTGTAAAGCTGGGGTCAACTCTGATGGAGGGTGAATGTTTACCTGTAAAGCTGAAGTCAACTCTGATGGAGCATTCCATGCTGCAGACATCAGCCCTGCAGTCCCTCTGAAAAATTCAACTTGTGTCAGCAGGACGTCCATAAAGGTGAAGGACATTCCTGCAGTGGGCTCAACAGAAGAGGTCTCCTCCTGTGAGTCATCAGTGTCTGCAGGGGCAGCCTCGACCTCTTGACCCATCAGCGCGTCCAAGCCATCTGCATAGATCCCAAACTGAAATTGACCACAGCCATAAATATTTTGTCACGCTTCAAGAATTTCTTAGGAAGACATTGTGACCACTGCATAAGTCACCACAACAAAAAGTAACCATGACATAATAGGCAGTAACAATGACATGACATGCATTAACAATGACATGACATCCATTAAAAATGCCATGACATGCATTAACATTGACATGACAGGTATTAACAAAGACATGACATGTATAGCAATGACAGGTAGTAACAATGACATGAAATCCATCAACAATGACATGACATGCATTAACAATGACATGACATGCATTTTAACATGAAAGGTATTAACAAAAACATGACATGTAATAACAGTTGGTAACTAAGACAAGAAGTCACAGTGTTGTAGCAGAAAGGTCCTGTGATAGTAAAATAAAAATAAAAATATATTAAAAAATATCATTATAAAATCCTCTACTCTGCCCACAAAAATTTCCATTAATTTTATACAACAGATCCTACCTTAAGGAAAGGTTGGTGAATTGATTTCCCAATCAGACTGACCAACATCCCACTTCTCTTCATGACACCAGAGGCAGAGTTTTCAAAGAACAAGTTGTAGGTGGTATTCACATCTTTCATTTCTAAAGGAAAAAAATGCATGCATTCACCTAATACATCTCATGGGACAACTTACATGGTGGTCATAACTTTCATTATTAAAAAGTTTTCAAACTAAAATGGTCTACATAAATAGCTCAAAAAGCTTAGATAAAATTTTAATCCACATTCCTTCATTAGTACAATTTGAAATTGGGTGCCTGATTCATTATTACTTGTATTTTCTTACTGACAAGTGGTCCTTCTAATATAAAAAATAATTACTAGCTAAAATAACTATGAAGTTACGAGCTTAATTAACCAAACTCCAAAACAATGTATAAATGACAGGTTGCATAAAAAATGCCAGTTTATTCGCAATAACAACTCAACTTACTGGCCAAATAACTAGTTAGGACACTGGACTTCCCTCGCTGGGCCCAAAGGTTGTAGTTGTTTAGTTGTCTGTCCTGTAGGACCCTGGTCAACTGTTCTCTGATCATGGAAAACACAACATTATTAACTTACAACAAAAACTTTTCTGATCATGGAAAACACGACATCATTAACTTACAACAAAAACTTCTCTGATCATGGAAAACACGACATCATTAACTTACAACAAATACTTTTCTGATCATGGAAAACACAACATTATTAACTTACAACAAATACTTTTCTGATCATGGAAAACACAACATTATTAACTTACAACAAATACTTTTCTGATCATGGAAAACACAACATTATTAACTTACAACAAATACTTTTCTGATCATGGAAAACACAACATTATTAACTTACAACAAAAACTTCTCTGATCATGGAAAACACAACATCATTAACTTACAACAAAAACTTCTCTGATCATGGAAAACACAACATCATTAACTTACAACAAAAACTTTTCTGATCATGGAAAACACAACATCATTAACTTACAACAAAAACTTTTCTGATCATGGAAAACACAACATCATTAACTTACAACAAATACTTTTCTGATCATGGAAAACACAAGACAAATTAACTTACAACCAAGACTAATTAGAATAGAAATACACTGCATAACTTCAATAACTATCTAATTATCAGCTGCACCAAATATTTATCTTACCACTAGTACAGTTCAGTATTTAAATTTTTTTTAAACTAACTATAGAAACACTAGTCACAAACAACAGGCATATCACCTGGCCATAAAGCTCAATATCTACAATAATTAACATAATCGTAATCTATAAACTACGGCAAACATTCCACCTTTAATTCAGACTCAACTTTTTATGTACTTACGCAAATGTTGGATACACAGAAGCAGCATCAAGCAACAAGTTAATGACATAAGTAGAAAACTCTGGTTCACTCTGATCAACTGCTGACAAAATAATGTTTCTCAACTCCTGATCTGACGGGGATTTGTCGAGAATAAACTCAAGGGCAGACAACCTAACACTGGCATCGTAAGTGGCTTTATTTTGGTGAAATATTCGCAGAAGTGATTCTTTAACCTATAGTAAAAAAATTACAGAATTGAAGGTGAATAAAGTAAAATATATTATTTAAAAAAAACTAAAGTGACAATACTATATAATTTAGTCAAATCAGTGAGTAAATAGAATCAAATGTGAAATCCAATAACACAAGCAGAAAAAAAGAAGAATATGTAAAAGCTAAAATTAGAAACATTTTAAAAGTAATTTTACACTGAGTTATGCAAGTCTTAGTATTTGGTATTCTCAACATACTACCAAAAAAAAAATGAAAATGAATATTTCAAAATCAAACTTCACAAAACACTAACTTTCAAAGAATAAATTCAATATTTTATCCTTTGGTAAATAAATAAAAAAAAATTAATAAAACTAAATTTGTTTTACAAAATGCTGACCTGAGCGCTGATAAATTTAGCAGGGATGCGTCTGAAAGCTGATATGGCTGTGGCAGCTAGCATTGGACTGGCTGGGGATTCAGCTAGTGGAAGAATATCTGCAACGGTTTCAGGCAGGCCGGCGTTGCCTAGCGCACGCACATACATGAGACGACATGGTTCATCCTCACAGCTGGCCAACCCAGACCTCAGAATGTTTTTAAATTCCTCAACTACCTGCAGTAAGATTTACCATCTAACGTGAGTGAAGGGTACTTTTTTAAATAAGAAAATAAACAAAAAATATATGAACAAATGATCTGTGAATTAGAAATGTCATTAAAACTGTCTGCATGACCTTAGCCTAATGGTGTGTTGCTATGACGACCGCTCTGACTTACAGTGAGTTGACACTGGTCCACAACTTGACAGAAAGTGTGGACTATGGCACCCAGAGAGAGCAGCACAGACTCCCTGAGGCTGGCACTGGGAAGTGGGTTCTTTAGCACAGACTGGAGAGAGAGGAAGGTGATGTAACATTGTAAACAGGCAGAAAATGTATCAATATAAATTACAGTGCTACAAGTTATGCAAGGGAATTTTTGGAGTTGCTCTAGTTAGGTTTTTGAACCTTGTGGTCCATGGGGAAAATGAAGTAGAGTTCACATATTTCTGTGAACATGCATATCAAGATAGTGTGGTCAGCACTATGCCTAGCTGCTTTTACTTTCCCTTTACTTTCAGAGTTCAGTATCTATCAGAGCTGGGTGAACTCACTGATGTTCTGCTGATTTGGTTCAAACTAGAGACTTGGGGTTAACAGTCTAGCACTCTAGCGCTGGACCATGCTGTCCTAAGTTGCTCTAGTGCCGTGCATTAAACATGCCACCATCATCTGACACAATTTGCTAAAACACTGTATTTGAAATGTGGGCCATGACCACACGCTGCCAAAGTAAACACTTCCAGGCCTGACAGTCCTTAGGGCTCAAGTCAGGTCGGCCTACCCTAACTGACATCTGTGTTTTCTGACCACAGTTCAGAACTCAGCTCAATACCTTTTGCACTAATTTGTAGGCAATTAATTGTTCTACCATTGAAGCATGCTGTATCATTACCATTAAGGTACAACACATTAAACATGGACCATGATCACAAACACACCATTTTTGCTTAAGTTCTACACATTAGATCATCATCGTCTATTTCCCGTTCGTGCCCAAGACACATGGGGCAGATGAAGAAGAGTTCATTTGCTTCAGAGACCTCGGCATATGAAGGGATAGCGTGGTTAGCTCTATGCCCAGCAGCCTTTGTTTCCCTAACGTGAGTTAGGTACCCATCAGAGCTGGGTTGACTCATGGATGTTCCACTGATCTGAACCCGGATTCGAACTCGAGACTCTCAGGTTAGCAGTCTAGGCCAAGCCGCCCCCACACATTAGATACACACCCTAATCACATCTACAAAGTAGCACATAAAAACCATAGGGTCAGACACCAAAGGACATGGAACTCACCAGCAAGTCAGCTATCAAACTCTCTGGTTAGCAGTCTAGTACTCTAGCGCTAGGCCACGCCGCCCCCACACATTAGATACACACCCTAATCACATCTACAAGGCACCACATAAAACCCATAGGGTCAGACACCAAAGGACATGGAACTCACCAGCAAGTCAGCTATCAAACTCTCTGAAGGGTGAGATGAATAAGCTGCAGCAAACAGAAATCTTTGAGGATGTTCTATAGAACTCTCGCTCTGAAAATCTAAGAGCTCAAATAAAGCTCTCTGACTGGCCTCGGTCTGAGCTGCAGTGACTATGTCAATTAATTGGGGCCTGGAGAAAATTAATTAATTACAATTATATATATCACTTAGCTAAATCAGTCAAATTAATAACATGTCAATTATTAGTAAATTAATTAAAACAATGTCATTACACAATTTAAAAAAACTCATTTTCAAAAAGTGTAGTGCATTGTGGCAGCTATTAAAATGAATCTGAAGTAAATGCTGGTCAACAGATTGTTCCTAATACAAACTTGCAGAACCTATTTTCATGCACACAGCAAAAACATAAAGTACCACATCCAACAACTGTACACTACATAACAGACCCAAATAGCAAACATACCAAAAACAATTGTACTGTACAATAACTAAAGACTCACAAAAAAAGAACTATATATTAACTACAACCTCCATAGCACCATTGACTGTATAACTCAGTAGTTTTCAAGCTTTACAACAAGGCACTTCCCTTTCTTTCACTACATATAATCCATACCGCTATAAAATTATTTTCTTTTTGATCCCAAAATTTTTTTCAGCTGAAGCAATAGTTTTGGCTCAAGGGAGCCACTTTGTGGTAGCGGATTTTAGCGGAGGGCCGCACCGTTTAAAATGATTGTATTCTTTAGTTAATCTTATATTTCATTTCAGAAAAATTATAAATAATATAATAAATATCAATAAATAAAACTTAAACAAAAGTGGTAGTTTTATTAAATTTATTTATTGTGCTAATGTCATAATATCTAGATTTCTAGCAGCTAGCACATTTAATTATAGAATCAGTTTAGTGAGACAAGTGCACCCTATCATACTTTTTTTTTAGAGAAAACTGAAATAAAACTGACAAACCAGATAAGTGCGTATTTTCACTGCCTGCGCACGGGCTATAATGGAAAAAATACGAGACGAACTTTTGGTCGCGGACATAAAGCAAATCTCAGTTCTAAAATCAACAATTATTTACATTTTCAGGTTTTAAAACTGTAATTGGACATTTTGAATTATGTTTAAGAATACCATCATGGGTAAGAAGTCTCACTAGCCATAGTTGTTGATCCAATTTTACTAGGGCAAACAAGCAGGAAATATATGCTTATGCAATTCATCGCCAGATTGTATGAACTCTCTCCTGCCCACAAATGAACAGTTTAATATAGCTAATAGATTTCTATTTGAAGTTAAGTCAAATGATAATTGTGAAATCTATTAAAAATAAATAATAGATAAAGAATCTTGTAAGGTTTTTAGCATTCATGTAAAATAAAATAATTAACAATGAGTTCCATATTTATTTTGTTACAAGTGAATCACTTTAAATTTTTAACAACTATTGGGAACATAGTTAAAAGTTGTCTCCCTTATTAACTTAAAATTTTCAAATGGAAAATAACTGATCTTTAAAAATCCTTAACTTAATTAACACATTTAACAATCTATATATATAATTCTCTTCTGGGATCAGTTAGAAAACAAGCTGCAAGCGCGCCTTTGCAGTCCCCTCTCTTCCTCTCTATCACTACCACCCCTACCCCACCCCCCACATGATCTGGTGAGCGGTGTTCACTCTGTTTACATTTTACAATCACAGAGACGGGTTTGGTGACGGCTATTAGGGGCAGATAATGTAGTTTGAAACGATTTTAAACTTAGAGGAGGTAACTAAGAGGAGGCAGCTTTCACGTGGGGGGGGGGGGGGGGGGGTAGTGTTTTTAAGCAAATATTTTCAATGGCAGCATTGGTACTGTCGAATTCACAAATTATAAATTACTGAAAAGTAGAAAAACAACAACTAAATAGCGGCGTATGATACGCAGCAGGTCGGCTCGTTAATAATATTATTGTTAAACCACTGAAGCACTAAATAAAGACCATTTTTTAAAAAAGGGTCATCACTGAGTTCAAACTCTCATTAGAATCAGCAAAGAAATGAAAACATCTGAGAATTAATGGGAAACATTTTTTTAAACTGAGTATCTGGAAACAATACTATTAGGATAAGAAAATGCACTTACATCTATATAATTTTACATTTCTGTTATATATTTCATGCTATTGGAGATGCCAGTTTGGAAACTACTCCATTAACTACCCCCACCCTCCCACCCCCACAGAACAATACCAAGATTTAAAAAACTACACAATAACTATACACATCAAAACAACAGTACTAAGTTTTTAAAAACAACACAATATCTACACACCCCAACACAACAGTACCAAGTTTTTAAAAATGACACAATAGCTACACACCCCAACACAACAGTACCAAGTTTTTAAAAATGACACAATAGCTACACACCCCAACACAACAGTACCAAGTTTTTAAAAATGACACAATATCTACACACCCCAACACAACAGTACCAAGTTTTTAAAAACAACACAAGTTCTACACACCCCAACACAACAGTACCAAGTTTTTAAAATCAACACAAGTTCTACACACCCCAACACAACAGTACCAAGTTTTTAAAAACAACACAAGTTCTACACACCCCAAGTTTTTAAAAACAACACAAGTTCTACAGACCCCAACACAACAGTACCAAGTTTTTAAAAATGACACAATAGCTACACACCCCAACAACAATCAAACAAACCCCATGCAATAACACATCCAAACAGCACCAAATAAAGAAACTTACACTACATAATAGCTATCAGGACTTGTCATCAGCTTAGTAAGAGTTTCCTTGCCCACCACCCTAATGCTTTTGAGCAGTTGAGTAAAAGCTTTAGCTGACTTGAGTGTGGCCAAGTTCTCAGCTTTCAAATCCTCTGCTAATTTACTCAGCAACGATTCTGGCTAAAAGCAGAGTTCTTAAACAATTAAATATCTTCAGGATAAGAATACAAATAGATTAATAGTTAATTTTTTAAACACAAGTTGGCTAAGTAAAACAAGGAAGAGTTAAAATATGTAACACCATAAGAAGATAATTAAACAAATAATACTTGTACTTACAGTTTGGCATTTTTCTGTACATTGCTGTATCTCTTCCTCACTAGGCAGTAGAGATATGGTATAAGAAGATTGGACCTCTGAAATAGATTGAAAGTATAGTATCATGTCCATTAGTTTCTAATATAAAAGTAGATGCAAGTGTATTGGCTAATCAAATAATTTAATATGCTTGGTTTTTTTTCAGGGGGATAAAAATATTTATAAATATTTAAAAATAAACACAAGAGGTAGAAGAAGGGGAGGCAAACATGGATGACAAATAGAGAATTGGTCACAATTGATAAAACTGAGAAGCAAGAGAAAGAGAGAAAATTGACAAACAAGAGAAAGAAAGTTGACAAGCAAGAGAAAGAAAGTTGACCATCAAGTGAAAGAAAGTTGACCATCAAGTGAAAGAAAGTTGACCATCAAGTGAAAGAAAGTTGACCATCAAGTGAAAGAAAGTTGACCATCAAGAGACAGAAAGTTGACCATCAAGAGAAAGTAAGTTGACCATCAAGTGAAAGAAAGTTGACCATCAAGTGAAAGAAAGTTGACCATCAAGAGATAGAAAGTTGACCATCAAGAGAAAGTAAGTTGACCATCAAGAAAGTTGACCTACCTGCCTGAGCTTTGTCTAGAGCCTCCTGTGCACTGCTGGACGTGGGACTTCCTACAACGACTGATTCCAGCAGTAGACTTTGACTGCAAGATGAACATGACATGACATCAGGAGAAACAAATATAGTTATCATTGTTGTCAAAAACTATACTCTCATTAAATTCTGACATTTTATCTATGATGTGGGATAGTTGTCTAATGAAAAGCTTACAGCAAGTCAATAGGTTATTCACAAGCAGCTGAACAATGCAAGGGCAGTTACTCAACCAGACTGAAGGGCTACAACATCTACCAAATAGCTCTAACTCATCCAGCTAATGAGACTGACAACACATTTAAATCTTGTTTATTCCAACAATCCAAAAGGGCAATAATTCAATCAGGGATATACTCATTTAGCCAAAGCAGCATGTCCAAACAAGGGAAATAACCCAGCCATACACAACAATGTAGTATGAAACTCACCTAGAGGTGGCGCCACCATTCAATGATGGTCTAATGTTGAGATATGTGATGACACGATGGGTCCCTGTAGCCCTCTCAATGACAGAATTTTTCAGGTGATACTGGGTAGAAGACTTGCTATACACAGACACCCCAAGAGCCTGCAGCGATAAAAAAATTCTTTCTGTTAAAATTTGTTGTGGCACTGGTGTTGTAGGATGATGAAGCTCATTGTTGCTTAACCAAAAAGTCTCACATTTGAACCCCGGGAAGATGAGGTTCGAAAGCTGAGGACAGCAACTTATCTAGGAGAGAAAACTCAGAAATTGAACAACTACTGTCTTGTAGTTTGTTCTTGGATGGACAAAGGCAAATCCAGAAAATCAACGGGCCACATGGTGGATAACACATTGACATGAAATACCTAATTGAGTTGAAGGAAATCCTGTCCAACATTACAATTAAGAACAAAGAAGAAGTTAAACACAAAAGGTTTTGGGTAAAATTTACATCCTCCAGAAATGTCAGCAACATTTTAAAATGACATTTGTATACAATTTGTGGTGGGGGCTTTTAACTACAAATGTGTGTTTATGTAAGGATGAATGGTCTTTTTATTTCCATGAGTAGAATAGTAGCAAAGTGATATAAAATCCAAAGCACTTCATAGCACAGCAGCCAAGTAATTAAGTCACCTACCTTCTACCACACCCTTCTGACACTACAGATATCCTTGTACATCAAACAATCCCAAATTATACATACTAACCTCTGTAATATGCTACAAAACTCTTTGGTGTCATAGGTAATATAAATTTGTCATTACCTGTGTAACAACTGTTAATGTCATCAGCTCTATCATGAGTCATGGTTCTGTGCCTAAGCTTTGACAAGAAGGTCATATCCAAAGCTATTTTTGGAAGGTACTGCTAGACTTAACTCTAATCCTGACAATATCCCACTCCCGACATCAAAACTGTACTTTTTATATGAATTACTAACAGAATCAATAACTATAGATCTAGTAGTAATTGATGCTGTCACAGAATCCTAGTTAAAAACCAACTCATCTGCTTACCTTATTCCTGGTAGAGAACTGACCAGCTATCTCCAGGTTCTGACAGTCTGCCTTGGTCCTGTCAATAACACCAGGCTCAATGTTGGTGTACTTGACCAGACACTCTCCACTGACATCCACCTGTGGAAAACATCAAACACCTACAGCAACTTTAAAACATCAAACACCTACAGCAACTTTAAAACACCACACACCTACAGCAACTTTAAAACACCACACACCTACAGCAACTTTAAAACATCACACACCTACAGCAACTTAAAACACCACACACCTACAGCAACTAATAAAACACCACACACCTACAGCAACTTTAAAACACCACACACCTACAGCAACTTTAAAACATCACACACCTACAGCAACTTTAAAACACCACACACCTACAGCAACTTTAAAACATCACACACCTACAGCAACTTTAAAACACCACACACCTACAGCAACTTTAAAACACCACACACCTACAGCAACTTTAAAACATCACACACCTACAGGAACTTTAAAACACCACAGACCTACAGCAACTTTAAAACACCACACACCTACAGCAACTTTAAAACATCACACACCTACAGCAACTTTAAAACATCACACACCTACAGCAACTTTAAAACATCACACACCTACAGCAACTTTAAAACACCACACACCTACAGCAACTTTAAAACATCACACACCTACAGCAACTAATAAAACACCACACACCTACAGCAACTTAAAATACCACAGACCTACAGCAACTTGTAAAAACACCACACACCTACAGCAACTGTTAAAAACACCACAGACCTACAGAAACTAATAAAATACCAGAGACCCACAGCAACTTGTAAAAACACTACAGCAACTAATAAAACACCACATATTGACATCAACTTGTGAAACACTATAGACCTAAAGCAACTTGTAAAAACACAACATAACATCAACTTGAAAAACACCAACAACCTACAGCAACACCACAGACCTACAGCCACTTGTTAAACACCAACAACCTACAGCAATTTATAAAAAATCAAATAGCCAAAAATTGAGTTGTGCTCACCTCAGTTCTCTCCCCTGCATTGTCCTGGACTTGGAACAAGCCAATGATACCTTTCTTGATGTTGCGACTGAATGACGACTCATCAGCTAAATACAGCTGGCTCACAAGGTTGTTGGACAGCTGGAAAATGGCAGGCACAGACAGAAGATGCAGCAAGTCCACAGGAGCTTGGGTTGTAGCCCCTGACAAGCTGGCCTTTGTGATCTAAATGGGGGAAATACAAATTAAAGGGAGATAACAAGCTTATGCTTAAACAGCTGATCACCCTCATTGAAAAAAAAACACTAAAATATGGGCAAAATAAAAAGACATCATAACTGTTAGATATATTTACTTTACATCCTTGATCAAAGAAAAATATGATTTATATGCTTACTTAGATCCAAAAAATATATCTAATCTTTATGTCTTAAAGAAACAAGTAATTACTATTCCCTTTCTTTTTTCTTGTGACTGGGGAGATGTTATATTATTGTAACTAACATAATAAGTGAGTTAAAATTAATCTATCTTTAATACAGTGTAATGTGTATTAACTTTTACACACAAAAAAGTTGTGTAAATATCACTTACAATAAGACATTTTTTTAACTTTATAAACTAAACAAGTGCATATAAACATGAGCCCTCACTCCCCTAAAATTTCTTAGTGATCACATCAGGTGCTACTCTAAAAAGTTTAAAATACATAAAGATAAAAGACTGAATTTCATTTGCATTTACCAACTAGAGAAAATATTCTCATTTGATTTGTATCTATGATTGTAGATGGGAATAAATCAGTTTATTTACAGAATTTATACAACAAAATGAAACCTAAAGTGACCAATCAATTTTATTAATGAATTTTCTTCAGTATGTTTGCATTTTATCCTTACAAAAAGACAATGCTTTGGTACATCTGATGAAAACCTATTACTAAGCAGCTTGCATCAAACATAATTGTTGCAGTTATAGACAAACTAGCTGGATTAGACCAAAACCTTGAGTCTACATCATTAAGCAGATTGCTATACACAATCGTTGTATCTCTAGACAAACTAGCTGGATTAGGCTAAAACCTAGAGTCTATCATTAAGCAGCTTGCTACACACACAATTGGTGTAGCTCTAGACAAACTAGCTGGATTGGGCTAAAACCTCAAGTCTATCGTTAAGCAGATAGCTACACACACAATTGTTGTAGCTCTAGATGGATTAGGCCAAAACCTATCACTAAGCAGCTACACACTATCTGTGGGCCAGTGAACTTTAGAATTTGTCACTACCAGTTGAAAGTTGTGCCCAGCTTGGGGTCACATGATCACTTGACCTACTTGCAGAGCTTGGAGTGTGACATAAATAAAAGTGATAGAAAGATAATTGACACAAGTACACACACTACTTAGGAAAGGTTTTCATGCAATCTCTAGCCTATTATTTGCTTCTATAACCACTCCAGATGGAATGTGACAAATTTAGAATGACCTCTTAAAATTTGAACTCTGCGCAGTTACTAGATTTCTTTTCACAATTTCTGATAACATTAAGATAATGTGTATGCACTTGCTATCATTCAACTGAGTTAATTAAGCTTTCAAGTTAAATGAAGCTTTGGGTTAATTAGCAATTATACTTTATCTGGAATTTGTTAAAATAAAGAAATATATATAGATCTATACATGGTAGCAAGTAAGGAGTTAATTTGGCTACTAGTTTGACTGAAGATGGTTTAGAAGACATTATAGATTTAATGTATTAAATCTCATCTGTCCATACCAATAAAAGTTATATTAAAATAGCAATAAATGAAATTGAGAATAAATAGCTCAGCTCCAGTTTCCCATACCCGTATCCACCAGAAATTAACTACCATTAAAACAATGTAGCAGTATTATCAATGACTATTGGCAATGTGGTGACCTATAGAAAAATATTTAACTGCTAGTTGAAGAAGTTATTGATGCATCTATATGGGAATCACTGATGAAAATACACTGTAGAAAGTGAATGATGAAAGGTTAGTAATGTAGCTGTGTTGTAAAAGTTAGTGGTGTCAATTTGTTTGCGTATTAAATAAGATACATTTGTTTTTAAAACTTATAAAATAAATAACATTGTGGGCCTTTATATTTTCATCAAAACATGCACCATTATTAAAAAACAAACATTTTGTAGCATGCTTTATATCAAGTAGAGATCTAGCTCACATCTTCCTAAAATATTTAGTAACTAAAATAACTTTAAAAAATAATCTTAACTTAAAACATTAGCATTAAATATTCCCCATAACTAAAAGGGTATTAAATTACCTCCCTTCAGCTATTTTCCTGACATCCCCCTCATTATAAATTCATGCTTGGGAGATAGAAATTATAATAATATTCATTTAGCCAAGCTGTGGCCCTCTACCACTGTAATTACCCAGAGTAACCAAACACACGTGTGAAACCAACACCACATATTCATATTCATTACATTTTTCTAAAAGCAATGTTAATCTAAATATTATTTGGTCAGTCTGTCAGTTTACAGAAAGTAATGAAATAAGTCTTGAAAAAAACATTTTATACTGAGTTCCTGATAATTTCTGTTATAAGTACATGTTTAAATTGCATCTGAAAAGTATTCAGCTCTCCTTACAAATAGTTGAACCTGAATTGACTACATTTATGGGTTCAATATATTTTGTCAAGTTGCAGAGAATAAACATCATGAAAATGCTCTCATCAGAACATATTTCATAGTTACTCACCAAATAATCAAAGCTTTCTTCTGTGAGGTAATTATTATAAAGAATGAAATGACAAATTTTCAAGACCAAACATAAACCCAACACAGAAATAAATAATTAAAACAAACAAGCTGACCATGTAGCTTAAAATTAATCCACCAAAGTGTCAAGCATATAAACATTGAAATAATGAACAACATTCAGTGACATACCTGGAAATGCTATCTGACCCTAACTAGAGACACAAGCAAAATAAAAACAAAACTTTGTGTATTATTCAGTGCCAATAGAATTCCTTACAAATATCCACAATTAAAAGGTATATTTCAATAGAATATAGACATGCTGATGCTTTATTTTCAAAATAATAAAAATAGAAAGAAGTTTACATTATGAGGTCAAAAGTTTATATCAACTATAAATATTATTCTCAAATAGAATTTTAGATATCTAGCAACTAAGTTTTTATCATGCTTTTTAATTGTAAACTATTGTTGTGCAATGCTGTACACAAAACAATACAGCCAAGACTTTAACCATGCACAAAAGGTTAACAACATAAATATGTGTGCACCTTAATACTTTCATAAGTTAGATATTAGTGTCAATGAAAATCAATCAAGGCGACAATAAATACTTTTATTAGAAATGAGTAAATGATACTTACTGACAGCTTAAACATCTGAACATCCTGATCTTTATAAATTGTGGCCAGATTAAAGTTTATTATTATCTTGGCACCAACATCCTGCTGGGACACACTACTCTTTTTACTGTTGGCATCATTGAGCAGAATATCAGTGTGGTATAGGTAAGAATAAGTCTTAGATGGGTCATAGTTCAATGCAGAACCTAAGGAAAGCACAGTGGATTGATCAGCTAGGGTGTAGAATCATGTAAAGGTAAAATTACCTATTTGAACCTGGACAGTCCATGGGGCAGATGAAGTAACGTTCATATGGTTCTGTCATCTTGACTCAAACGGTTAACGTAACTTTTAATGTAAATAAAACCTTATTCCTTGGCATATGAAGGGATATAATGTGGTTACCAGTTATCTTTAATTTCCCTAACATGCATCAGGTACTCATCAGAGCTGGGTGTATTACAGACTCAAGCCTGGGATATGAACTTGAGACTTTCGGGTTAGCAGTCAAACCTTCTACTATTCGACCATGCCATTCCTCTTTGTAATTATAGCTGTCATTATCTCTCATATTTAATCAGTAAATAACATAATATCTTTATATTATATTGGGGTTAAAAACTAAGACTTAAAAGGAAATGCATCTTTGAAACACTGGTAGACTGATTTAACTCCAGCCCTGAATGATCCAAATCAACTAATAACAGTTTACTTGGTCAGCGTTTGGTGTCATTAACCAAAGTGAACAATTAACCCACAAAGAATGAACAAAATTCTCAAGCAAATGCATAAGCTCCACTTTACAATAATATACACAAATGTGTTATGGTGATAATAATGATTAATTTAAAATTACAATGCAGTACATTTTAATTTAGCCAGTAAAATTATACAATTACACAAAGATGTTGTTAATGAACTTACTATGAACACAAATCACCAATATTGATGCTGTCAGCAGGATACAAGCTACTAATGTGTAAGAGGATGAAGAAGTCATTGTAGAAATTTCTGTCTATTCCAAACCAAGAAATAACACAATTGTTATGGCCTGGTGAATATGGTTAGTAGTACTTTGCGAGGTATTATCTATATCTATTGAACAATGTGTACTAACTATAAGGCCTATTGATAAGAAAAAAATCTAAGTCTAAGTTGCTAGCATGCTAAGATAAAATAACATGTAAGAATACAGTATAACTCTTTGAATGAAGGTAACAGCTACACTTCTTCTTACATCTACAACTACAACTGAAAATAATTACTTTTTTGGCCAAGTCAAGCCCAAATTCCCAATATTTTTACCAAACTAGAATCTAGGCATTCAGGCTAGTTAGAAGTAGTGCTAGCTAGTGCCTAGCTAATAATTTTTAATAAATAATAGATCTAGACATCTAGACTAGCTTTGCTACTGACTAGCTTGAGTCTAGACCTGCCTTGGTCCTATGTAGTATGTATAGTGTATACTGCTGCACTGTATACTTTTATAGTTAAGCAACTTTAGTTACTAAAAGACAGGGACTGACAACAAGGCTTTACAAGATACTACTCGCACTACTCTACTGAAAAAAAAAGAACAAGTCACAAGTCCGATATCTCTTGCTGCTTGCTGGCTAGATTTACTCAACAATTAAACTAAACTAATTGTAGAAAAATGTTTAACAAAAGCTTTAATAGCACACGTTTTGTTCATTACTAAGACATTGACACGATAATGCAAGCTTAACACACTAGATAGATCTATGCTCTATAGAGATTATAATATCCAGGACTTGAGTCTAGATGTAGATAAATCAGCTGGATGATACGTAGCAGCCGCAGTGTAAAGTTGACACACACAAAAAAAAAAGGTATTCGGGTTTTCCCAAACTGGAGGAACGATTAACTTTATGAACACATTTTTTAAAATACCTTAATATTCAATATTTTTGCAATTAAGAAAATAAAAATAAAAATTATTATGTGATTAATAGTTAAAATAACATCTGAACAATTTTAAAAATAATTTTAGTAATCTTAAATACTGTAAAGAAAGTATATTTAAATACAGGCCTCCCAAATCACGTGACCAAAAAAATGGCCACCTCTATCTGTACCTAAAAAGGCATTGCCTACAGGCGGTTTTAAAATACGTTAACAATTGGTTTTGGATAATCAATGATAAAGATCACAGTATTTACTATATAAACAGTTTAAAATGGAACATGAAGATGTGACACCACAGTCGCCTATCACTAATCCAATAGACCTAAACGATGATAGTAATACGATCATAAAACCAAGTAAAAACCAGCTGAAAAAACAACGAAAACGAGAAAAGTGGCTTGCAATTAAAAAAGAAAAAAGGTGTAGATCTAGATCTAATTAATTTAATAATGAGTGATAATTTTTTTAATGTTATTAGAATCTAGATCTAAATTACTGTATGGGCACCGAAATTAAAGTATAAAGTCTGTGGCTACAGTTACAGTACAGTAGTACACTAGTTATAGTACAGTGATAAATGACTCCAATAATAATTTGTCCAATTCTAGCCAGAATAAGATATGCATGCGATACGCATGTGCAATGGAGAGAAACTACGACTTGCCTAAGCGGTGATGTTTTCGATGGTACTGCGCATGCGTGTGTTTACAACCGCAGAACCCTAACACCAACCCTAATCCTATCCTTAACCCTATCCCTAATCCTAACCCTAATCCTATCCCTAATCCTAACTCTAGCCCTAATCCTAACCCTATCCCTAATCCTACCCCTAACCCTCATTCTAGCGCTAACCCTAGCCATAGGTCACTGCGCATGCGCAGAGCTATCTTTTGCCGACTAAGTGGAGACGTTGGCGAGAAAAATCTTCTTCCAAGTAGACACTTCGTAATAATTTTGGCCTAATGACTCAATGAGTGATACACTTATTTTATTACACTATTGACTAGACTACTAGAATAGAGAGAAATTGATTAACGATTTTGTGTGAGGTCATTAGACTTGGTTCTATTTTGTAATTTAGCCTAATTTTTTAAAATTGCTATTACAAGTAGTAATAGTAATATGCCACTTTTATTAGACCTAGTCCCTAAATCTGTTTATTGTTAAAACTCAGTTACTGATACTGTCTCAATAAGGTTTTAATTACAAAATTTCCTTGGTTTAAATTTCAATCTATTTGTAGAAGAATGATTTTAGAATGACTAAGAAATATATAATTTTCTTTATTTATAAACTATAATTTCAGACATGAGGCAAAGCAGAAAAGAAAACGTCGTCTAGCAGAGTTGAGAGAAAAGGGAGAAGACATAGGACCCAATAGAAAGAGATTGAAGTCAAATACAATGAAAAATTCATCATGTAAAATTCGGGTTGTGATTGACCTTTCTTTTGATGATCATATGACAGAAAAGGTTAGAACCACAATTTGATTTTTTTTTAATCATCTTACTACTCTTTTATTGTTTAGGGAATTGTACAAGCTAATAATAATTGATAGTAACTTAATTTTTTAACTAAGCAAATGATTTTAATTTTTTGAAGCCCCCTTTGATTTACATGACTAACTAATTTAAAGATAGATTATGAAATGTGTTCTGTAGGATGTGAATTCCTTGACGTGTCAACTACAACACAGTTATTCTGCCAATCGAAGAGCTCAAAATCCATTGCAGGTAAAACTGATTCTAAAACACTCGATTCACATTTCTACACATTTTAATTGTATTGTTTTTAAAAAGTAACATGGATAATTATCCTTATTACTAATAACTATAAAATAATTAATTGAATTTTTTAAGGGAAATGATTGGTCTGTATACGTTATACTGTAACATAATGATTAATTCACAGTTATATTTGTGTGGATTAAGTGGAAAAACTAAAGAACGCCTGGACAGCATAGGAGACTATAAAGGATGGGATGTAAGTCTGCTTTTTTCAACAAATCATATTTTTTTTTAAAAACATGCATTTTTAAAACTATGTGTCTTAAAAGGCTTGATAAGATATTTAAATAATCAAAAAATGATAATATGCTTTCACCTCTGTTGTATTTTTAGTGACATTAGCTGTAAGAGTTTAAGAAATATTTATGAATTTGTATTCATTAGTCTTTATGATATTTTTAATTTGTACAGGTCCACAAAGAAATCCAGCATTATGAAGAAGTTTTTCCCAAATCTAGTCTGGTTTACTTGTCAAGTGAGTCACCTAATGTTTTGACATCACTATCCGATGACAAAGTCTACATCATTGGTGGCTTGGTAGATCACAACAAGCTCAAAGTAAGTAATATGCTTTATATATATATATCAAATGTCCATGCTCTTTACTTTAATTGTTGTAGCATATCATTTCATCTTATTTGTTTTTGTGACTTCTTGATTACTTTTAATCACACAGAAATACATGTAAATTGCATGTTTGAAATCCACTTTAATAAACAAGCTGTTCAGATATATGCTTTATTAATAGGAACATAGATTTGGATTTTTTTTCAAAATTGTTGTACAGATGTTCAACAGATAATTTATTAGTGAAACTAACCAACAAGAAAGATAACTCTAGAATACATTTAACTTAATACAGGACAGAAGTAAGAAATGTTAGAGCCTTTATTAAAATAGAAAAATTAAAATGATAAGTGTTGAAGTACCTGTATGTTAAAACATGTGAGAGTATAAACCGTAGTCGGTTTCAGATGTTCTCACTCTAGGTCCAACAAATATCTAATTGTGTCCAATATTTCTTTAGTAAACTACCTGCTGAGATTTTGCCTCGTCTACTTGAAACTTTTTTTGTCTCCTCATAACCAAAATATGTTGTAGTTTTTTTTTACTTTATTCTTTCATTTAATTTTTAATTATTTTTTAAAAATTATTTGTGTCTACTATGATGTCTGATTTCCTTTTCCAGGGTTTATGTCTTAAGATTGCTGAAGAGAAAGGCATAGCACATGCACAGCTTCCTATTTCTGACTATCTTAATATGAAGACCCGCAAAGTTCTTGCTATTAACCATGGTAAATATGCCACAGGGGGAGAGATCATCTACTATGCCCAATCTATCTGTCATTACATATATTTAATAAGTAAACAGAAAACATGGAATATAGAATTCATAATAAAACGAAATAATATTTTTTTCTTCTTTGTTGTTGATGTTGTGGATAATAAAGAAATGTTTTCTTTCTTACTTCCAGTTTTTTCTATCTTATTGCGGTACACAGAGAGTAATGACTGGAAGGAAGCTTTTCTTGCTGAAATGCCTCAAAGAAAACAAGCGTATCTAAAGGATGGCAGTTCACCAGAGCAAGAATGCCATGCATCTTCATCTACTGAAGAGAAACCTGCCGACATAATACAAGAAGACCGAATTGAGAATAAAGGGAATGAAGAAATATCTGATCATTCAAGGGAGGGAACAGACATTGAAAAAAAGGAGGTGGATTCTTGTGAATGTTTAAAAGACAATAGTATTGATATAAACTCTAAAACAGAAGTGCTTGAAATGGGAGAGAATACAACTAGATGATCTGAGTAATGCCAATAGATGTTAATATTTCTAAATAATGTGTTTCATTTGTTCATTTTTATCTATGAAGTAACTTTTAACTATCAATATTAATTTTTTTTAACTTGAATCTAATTAGCTATGAATCAAAACACAGACAAACACTTGAAATATGTTATCCAAACTTTTGTTTTTAAATAACAAACAATAAGCTTGATACAGAGTTTTTATTTTTATTCACTGTTTTAATAAAAATTGATGATAAAGCAAAGAAAAACATAAAGGTCAAGTTTTAATACTGGCATATAGTTGATAAACTTAGTTGATATACATTTTTTAACACAGAAGGATATCACAGATACTGGTAACTCTTAAATTAAAAAAAACATGTATATATTATTTTTTTATTTGAAATAAATACATTTTTGAGACAGTTGTTAGCTTGGATCTAATGTAATACTGTTTGATGGGTGTATATGAAAAACTCTGGATGTCTCTGACACACACTAGCATTGATGAGGTTCTTTTAAATTAGAGCAAGGAAGTGTAACCAATTCCAGTATAAAAATAATTAAAACATTAAATATTGTTGTTGCTCAAAACTAGTGTGCTTAAGTTTTTTTTTTTTTGGAGTTTACAAGTAAGAGCAAAAAAAAAAAAAAAAAGTTAAGCAGGAACAATAACTCTTGTTTTTATAAACATTATTTTACATATTTGATATTTGTTCAAACTTTTTTTTTCCTGCAAGCAGTACCTTCTTTTAATGTGAAGGCTTTAAGCTTAAACTTTTTTGCAACCTGTGAGAAAATAAGCATTATTAACAAGTTATTTTAAAATGTTTCATTTATAAACATGGATCAATCAAGATTTAGACACAGAATTGTTTTGGCTCCACATTGGCTCCTTGCTTGGATTCTTTGTGTACTTCAGACTGGCTTTTGGGCTGCTGTTTTTGGGGGCCTTAGCGCTCTCAGTTTTGGTAACCCTGGCGGGTTGTAAGGGGGTCAGTGCCCTGGCCTGCTTCTGTGACGTTACTGGTCTTGCTGTGGCGGAGGTTTGTTTGAAAGCTTCTGTTGTAGGCGGCGTCACTTGTGAATCTAGAAGTAAAAAATGTGGATTTTGTATATGCTGTACTGTAAACATGATGACGTGGTCAGATGGTGGAACATACAACGGCTAACTCAAACTTCCATCACATTGAAACATGGATATGGATATATAACACTGGTACAAAAATCTGATCGGGAATCATATAACCCCTGGGGTTTGATGGACCCCCAGGTTGAGACCCACTGATATATAATTACAGTGATATTATATATCACTGGTACTTAACCTCATTGGAAGTACCGAACCCCACCAGTTTCATCTGTGTATTTGCCAAACCCTTCCTAATAATTGTTATTGTCCGCACTGACAAAAATCTGATCGGGAATCATACAAGTCGGGTGTTTATCTTGACTTTCGCTAAACCCTTGGGGTTTGATGGATCCCCAGGTTGAGAACCACTAGTATATAATTATTTTATATCTCAAGTATTTATTCATACAAAAGTCAGTGGATAAAAATTCATGGATGTGGACATTACCTTGAGCTTGTACTGGCTGGTCAGCTGGTTCCCTGCCTGCATCAGCTGGTGGGGTCTTGGCCTTTTGCCACCTGTTGCTGTCTGGCTCCTGGCTCGGTTCATCCAGAACCAACCTAGTTAACACAACACAGGGACTCTATAAACAGCTCTAGTTTACAACATGTCAGTGTATCAGTAATGTCAAATTATCTTCAAAATTTAGAATAATTTCAAAAAAATAATTTTCTAAAATAGTTCTTCTTCTCCTGTGAGAATATGAGTAATGTCAAAATATCTTCAGAAATTAACATAATTTTAAAAATGAGTTTTCTAAAGTAGTTCTCTTTCTCCTGTTGGAGTATTAGTCATGTCAAGTCTTCAGATATTGAAATAATTTCAAAAATGAACTTTCTAAAAATAGTTCTCCCTCACCTGTTGGTTTCACTGCTTGTGCCAGATCTAATGGCAGGTAACTTGGACTTGTCAAACTCCTGCAGATACTCCACAGGGTACTGTTTGTAGTACTCCTCTCTCCCTGCCACTGCACTCCTCACCAGGTTCATTACCAGGTCTTTTTCTATATGATAAATTGTTCACTTGTATTGGCAGGGCAAACAGATTTTAGACAAACTATAACTATATATATATATATATATATATATATATATATATATATATATATATATATAATATATATATATAATATTATATATATATATAATATTATATATATATATATATATATAATATTATATATATATATATATATATAATATATAAATGTGTGTGTGCCTAAATATATCAAATAGGGGAGTATATATATATATATATATATATATATATATATATATATATATATATATATATATATATATATATATATATATATATATATATCTTTATATATACATAGTATTTTAGATTTCGATGAAGATGTATTTATTGTCAAAACATTAGAGGATATACGACTGTAATTTAGGCCTATTTAGGCTATGTATTTTGCCTGGCCACAATTCATTGCAAAGTCATTTGTTTTTTGCCTCATGGAGACAAAGTGTATTTAAAGGGAGATAAAACTAAAAAAAAAACTTTTTAGAGTTCTCGAACCTCTTTGTCCAGCAGAACAGAGCCAGGCTTGTACTGCGCTGATGTCGTCTGTTTGAAGGATCTGACACAACATCATGAGCACCTGTCGAAAAAATAGACATGTTTTGTCAATTATGCGTCTGCTGTAGCCAGTAACCTCAGACCAGTTTCGTTCTACTAGACGTAATTTAAATCTGGTGTCATAGACTAAATGAGAGGGGGGGGGGGGGGCAGGGAGGCGCCTTAATGCAATCTAAAGAACGGTAACTCTACTCTATTGCTATCGACTTGCGACTGAATCTCATCCAAATTTTTCACTCTTGGTACAAGTGGGGAGGTGTGACTTTTATGTATTTAGCCTGTGCGCTTGGTGGCCGTCTAGCCACTTTTCACGTCAACACAAAAAGCCAGCCGTCCTCCCCTCCCCTTATCAAATTACTACACTTACTTATGATCGAGTAATGTGACGTAACATTTATTGTGTACTTTTTAACTACAATAAACCGGGAGTGATCTCCCCTAAATTTTCTCGAATATTTTTATATAAAATAACAGGGGATGGGAACTCGGGCTATAGACATGATTTTTAATCCATTTTAAATACTTAAAGTTTTAAAAATAGAATAAAATCTCGTAGACAAATTAATTGCACACCAAGTGAACGCGAAATAAAAAAGCGCATTATAGTGCGCAATATTATTAGTACTTTTAAAATTTACATTAGTTTTTTGAGAAATCGGAAGTAGCGTAAATTACTACTTCCGGTCAACGGAAATTACTCAAAATTTAACAGAAGGTAGAGAATTAGATCTTTTACTTACATGTGAAATTTCATTTATCTATCTGAAATAGTACTCAAGTTATAGGCTTTTGAAAAATTCAAAGTAGAAAAAGTACCACTTCCGGTTATCAAAAGTTGATACGGATCTACGATTTTGATAAAATACTTATATATGAAATTTCATCAACCTAGCAGTAACGGTACTCAAGTTATCGTGTTTACACACGGACACACAGACACACACACACACACACACACACACAGACATACGGACAAGATTGCAAAATTATGTTTTTCCGTATCAGTAAGGTGTAAAACGTCGAGATTTGTAAAAATCTCGATTTTTTTTTTTTGCACGATTACAATACTTTCACTATACTACGTATATACGAGAAAGTAAAAAACTTGGGGAAAAAACTTAGTATATATATATATATATATATATATATATATATATATATATATATATATATATATATATATAATGTATATATGTATATCTAGCTATCATTTTCCCTTTAATATATTGATTGTGTTCGGATGCCGGGATATATCACTTCCTTCAGCGGAATAACTCCGGGCTCTAATGGCGCTGATAGAACGGAGATCGAACGGTGATTAAACCAATAACTCCAGCCACGGGATTGATCACGGCATTATCGATAACACGAGAAATACATCAGCACAGTGGGGATCAATGACGGGGAGCGATAAGTCAGGCCCGGCCCCATATAGCCAGGCTGGGTTTACACGAGCAAAGCAAATAGAGAAAAAAACAGCACAAGGGCTGTAACTTGGGTCATTGAGGTGGTCAGGGGAGATAATCGGGTGGTTGCGCACTCAAGGGCTATAACCTGCTTGAATTACGTCAACTTGCCCTAAGAACGAAATACGCATTTTTAATAAGGGTTTTATTGCTATGAACTTAACTTGCTGATTGTTATATTAATATTTTTTTATTAGATGTGGAAAAGAGTTTTACGTTCAGATTTAAATTTGACAATTAGATCAGAGGCGTAGCGAGGGGGTGGGGGGGGGGGGGGACGACATAAGTCCCCGGGCGCCGACCATAGGGGGGGGGCGCCAAATTGAAAGTTTGAGGGAGGGGGTGCAAATGAAAAGTTCGAGGGGGGGTGCAAATCGAAAGTTTGTCCCCGGGCGCCGGGAATGGTCGCTACGCCTCTGAATTAGATCGACATCTGTTTCCTGTTAAACCATAAATTTAATGTAAGCGTAGGCCAATTCATTTTCTTAAAATCCCGTGCGGAGTATTAACAAAAGCCAAAACCATGCCAGGAAAAACTGCATAACTCATCACTCAATATCGACGTCTGGTTAGAACTTAGGGAGAAAAGAAAAAACGCTGTTGTGTTCCCTATACAAATTGTTGAATAGGAAAGCAGTTGGATATAAATAAAGGGTAAAAATCGATAGTATTGATTTCAATCAATTGTTATGTTGATCCAATCAATGTACAAGTACAAATCGGCGAAGTATTAAGGTAATAGCGCTGCTTTTAAAAATAAGAAGAAATAAATATACATTGAAGATTTTTATCTTTAATACTTTAACATTTTTTTTACAATAATTTTCTTAATGGTACGCAGAGATTCGCCTCTTTCACACACCAATTGAGACATAGTCAGCCACTACATATGGGGCCTTGATATATATTAGAGGTACCCACTAGATGTGGGTGCCTGATACATTGATAGATACCCACTAGATAAGGGTAACCACTAGATGTGGGACCCAGATACATTGAGCGGTACCCATTAGACGTGGGACCCTCATAGATACCCACTACATGTGTGGCCCTAATACATTGAGAGGTACCCACTAGATAGGTACCCTCTAGTTTTGGTACCCCGATACATTGAGAGATAAGCACGAGATATGGTGACAGGATACACATAGAGGCACCACCATTTCCTCCCTTCCTCCCCACACAACGTACACACACGGTGCCTGATTTCCAACAGACCCAGACCACGTTCCGCTCGAGAGAATCGTGTAACGCGATATCATTTAGTTCGGGCGATTGACTTTTCCACACTTGACTTCACCGCGAGCCAATCAAAGGCTAGTTCGTCCCTTGCCCCCTGCAATCAATACTCCAGAATCGAATTCTCTAACTCCAATCTTCGACATTCCCAACAGTTAACTTAAACTATTTTCTAAAGTGTTCTTTAATTCTCGTGAAGTGAATTTCGTAATTAAATTCCAATTTTCTCGTGCTTGTTTTTTTTTAAACTGTGTGACCTGTACCACGTGACAGGCGTTGAATGCTGGTCTGATGTTACGCCGCCATGTTTGGCTGCCCAGCCCGAGTTACGCCCCTTACTTAATGATCTCCCCTGCAGGTGTTTTTCCCGAATCCAGACGTTAATTGAGACGTGACTATAATGAAGGAATTTTTTCACCGGATATTTAACTAAGCCAACACCGTTTTTTTTCTTCCAAAAATCGATTTTGTCGTTTCCCTTTTCATGCTATTGTGACGTAAGTCAGCAGACATACAATGCACACAAATATTGGACTGGAGGCCGTTTTAAATCTGGAATAGACATGACACCGCATTGAATGTCGGATAAGCTTAGACAGAACGCTTACGTTAAATTTAAGGGGCGTTTTGGATTTTTAAATAGACTTGGCACATAAAAGAGGGCCAATATTTAAAGCCGTTTTGAATTTCGATTTGACAAACTTTAAAGTTAATGGGGAGGAGGAGGTGCTGAGTGCCATGTTTATATGATGACGTCATTTTTTTTTTTTTTGTCATCATATGTCCTTTAGTGTGCGAAAAACTGTATTGCTTCTCCTTAAGACAAAAATCTAAGTTGATATAGATCTCTTAGCCTCACGGGTTGTTTACAAAAGTTAACTATAGGCTGCGCTTAAATCGTACAGCGTTTAGTACTAGATCTAGATCTAGAATATCATGTCATTTGCTATCTAGGTTGCCTTCCCAGCAGTCGTTGCTTTTGCAACCCAAATATGTTTTGCATATAAATACTTTGAAGTGCTATTGCTTATAAGTTTATCAAGTATTGGGATTAGGGTGTAAATATGAGTTCGCTGGGATTAAGTCTAGGGTTTTTGTGAAAATCGATATGCTTGAAAACTAGCAAAAAACGCACCCCTTAACGTAATAGAATAGAATATATAATTGAATAGAAATTTTTACAACTAAGATCAAAGGCGTAGCGACCCCTCTCGGCGCCCGGGAACAAACCTTCAATTAGGCGCCCCCCCCCCCCCCATATATATTTTTAATGTTTATAATTCAAATCTGCAGCTAAAATGAGCTTTTAATTTTTTTTCCAACCCATTTAGCGCCCCTAGGGTTGGCGCCCGGGGACATATGTACCCCCCCCCTCCGTCGCTACGCCTATGATTCTGGTTCGGGGTGGAGGATGGACTTGTTTCGGGACGGCATAACTCCCCCCCCCCCCTCAAGACCATGAATAAATGTTTGCTCTCTCATCCCCCTTCAAACCAAATAGCAACCTCTCGAGTGCTACTGTGAAGGTAAAAAAACACACACACACGAACATTTAGCCCAACATTTACCGTGTTCTCCAGATCCGGATCCGCTGAGATGTGCTGGAAGTTGCCGCCAACAAACTGGTGCCCTCGTCTGGATCCGCCCCTGGTCATCGCGCGGGAGGGGGGAGGGATGAGGCGACCGGTGTCCGGCGAGTAGACCGAGGTCCGGGGACGTTTTTCCTCTTCCGGTTTCTGTTTGACCGGCTCTTCCTGTAGCAGCAGGTTCTTGGTGAACTCGGCGAGTTCGTCCCTCCAAGCCTCGGTTACCGGCACTGTGGAGTAGTGGGTGCTGGGGTGTACTCGTGGGTACCTACTTGTGGGTACTTGTGGGTAGTAGGGGACAAAGTGGGTACTAGTAGGGGTAGGCGTCAATGTGGGTACTAGTAGGGGGAGGGGGTAGGGGTCAATGTGGGTACTAGTGGGGGTAGGGGTTAATGTGGGTACTTGTGGGGGTAGGGGAAAATGTGGGTACTAGTGGGGGTAGGGGTCGATGTGGTTACTTGTGGGTAGTAGGGGAAAATGTGGGTACTACTGGGGGTAGGGGTCAATGTGGGTACTAGAATATACCCCAGTAGGGGTGAAAGAGTATACTTAATAAGTTAATATACTCGTGGGTAGTATAGACGATTGTGGGTACATAATAGAAGGTAGTAGTAGGTACTCGAATGTAGTGGGTAATAGTGGGGACTAGAATATATTCTTGGGTACTAGTGGATGTTAGCGGGTAGCAGGGGGTAATGGTGGGTACTATTGTGTAAGATGGTTCAGTGAGTTTATCTCCTATTGATGTGTTCAGTGGGAGGATGGTAGGGGTTCTGGATTTTATTGGGATGTGTGTAATTTAAGAGGTTACATATGCTCAAGGCTACACATGCTACACAGCCTACATTTACCCAAAGCCTACGATTACCCAAGCCTAGACTTACCCAAGCCTACCCAAGCCCACACTTACCCAAGCCTACACGTACGCAAGCCTACACTTACCCAAGCCCACATTTACTCAAACCTACACTTACCCAAGCCTACACTTACCCAAAGCCTACGATTACCCAAGCCTACATTTACCCAAGCCTACCCAAGCCCACACTTACCCAAGCCTACTTAAGCCTACACGTACCCAAGCACACACTTAGCCAAGCCCACACTTACCCAAAGCCCACACTTACCCAAACCCACACTTACCCAAGCCCACACTTACCCACAGCCCACACTTACCCAAGCCCACACTTACCCAAGCCCACACGTACCCAAGCCTACACTTACCCAAGCCTACTTAAGCCTACACGTACCCAAGCCCACACTTAGCCAAGCCCACACTTACCCAAAGCCCATACTTACCCAATCCAACACTTACCCAAAGCCCATACTTACCCAATCCAACACTTACCCAAGCCCACACTTACCCAAGCCCACACTTACCCAAGCCCATACTTACCCAATCCAACACTTACCCAAAGCCCATACTTACCCAATCCAACACTTACCCAAGCCCACACTTACCCAAGCCCACACTTACCCAAGCCCACACTTACCCAAGCCCACACTTACCCAAGCCCACACTTACCCAAGCCCACACTTACCCAAGCCCACACTTACCCAAGCCTACACTTACCCAAGCCCACACTTACCCAAGCCCACACTTACCCAATCCAACACTTACCCAAGCCCACACTTACCCAAGCCCACACTTACCCAAGCCCACACTTACCCAAGCCCACACTTACCCAAGCCCACACTTACCCAAGCCCACACGTACCCAAGCCTACACTTACCCAAGCCCACACTTACCCAAGCCCACACTTACCCAAGCCCACACTTACCCAAGCCCACACTTACCCAAGCCCACACTTACCCAAGCCCACACTTACCCAAGCCCACACTTACCCAAGCCCACACTTACCCAAGCCCACACTTACCCAAGCCCACACTTACCCAAGCCCACACGTACCCAAGCCCACACTTACCCAAGCCCACACTTACCCAAGCCCACACTTACCCAAGCCCACACTTACCCAAGCCCACACTTACCCAAGCCCACACTTACCCAAGCCCACACTTACCCAAGCCCACACTTACCCAAGCCCACACTTACCCAAGCCCACACTTACCCAAGCCCACACTTACCCAAGCCCACACTTACCCAAGCCCACACTTACCCAAGCCCACACTTACCCAAGCCCACACTTACCCAAGCCTACACGTGGTATGGCCTTCTCCCTGAACGGATAACTGTTGAACCCGGTGAAGTAGTGTACGCCGGTGATTGTGTTGATAGGGTGAAGTTGACTGTTGATGTTGATCGCGTTGACTGGGATCCGACCCTTCCAGCTCTGTAGGAAGACAACATCAAACTGATTCGTTGTGGTTTTGTTTTTAAAGGATTGTAATATTTAGTCCTGTTCAATTAGTATTAGTGGATCATAAAACTAATAGTGGATTTGTGGAGGTGGGGGAGATAAAACGTAAGGATAAGGTCTACTTGCTAAAACATTTCCGATTGTTTCTTGTATATTTGTTTAACAATAATATTGTATTTATAAAGAGGAAAAAGAGGAACCAGAGTTTTGGGAAATAAAAAAAAAACACAGTTATTTTGCAATAAAAATATCAACTATGTCAGGTTAGCAAAAAAAAAAATGTTTAGTTCCAAAACATAAAAATTGTTTTGGCTCCGATAAATGCAAGACAAAATAATTGCTTTTAAAGTAATAAAAAACTTTTTTTGCTGTAGTAAATGTTTTTTTCCTTTATAATTTTAGCTTGTTGTTATTTTTATTTACCTTGAGCTTTGTGTTATCAAAACTGCTGGGAGGAAACTGTAAAGAATATCTTGGGTTGGCGAAATAGCCGTCATCGTTAACTGAACAGATGGGGACATCCAGCAGACCTGGATAGTGGATTGAAATATACTCATTAGTAATTCATTATGGTTTAAACATGTGTCATGTTATGTCCGCATAGTTATATACTTTAACAAATCATACTAAAGAAAAACTTCACAAAATAAACTATTTTATTGTTGAAAAGCACAACAATGCAAAATTAGACCTTCATATAGTAGGCTATATCCTGCCCTCCCCCTCCCCTCCCCTACACGTACACTACTAACAGCTCATGTGTTGATACCATTGCAAAGCATATATTTAAATTAGAAATGACGATCTTCTGATACGGCGTAATGGGAGGTAATTCTTTCTACTATCAATATATATATATATATATATATATATATATATATATATATAAATATATATATATATATATATATATATATATATATATATATATATAGGATTACAGAGAGAACAGCTAACTCAGAAATCCTACACCACCATATACCAACCACCAAAGTGTAAAACTAAAGGTTACTAGATAAAGTCGTCTGCCTTATACGACGAAGTTGTGTAGTTACGTCCCCTTAAAGGAATTACATCAGAGAGTGATGAGTTACTTTTTTAAAAAGTATAAAACACTTAAAAACGCCGTCCACCTCTGTGTTCTCTGACCCCCGGGACTAACCTTTAAAATGCCGGACCCGGGTCGGGTGTGGGTTGTGACGTGTGAAGAAAGAGTTGTGGCTCAGCTGCCCGAACCTGTACCCCCCTTGCGTCTGGGGTCGACGCTCCCCCTCCTTCTTGTACGTGTCCACGGAGACGACAGGACCGTGTGCAAGTGTGTCTCTGACAAAAAGGTCCCCATCGCTCGGTCTGAAAACCTCCGACAGCGCCATCTGCTGGCTTTGTGACGCCCTAAACAAAGTAAAAGACATACACGTAAACAATAGTGTTTGATTCTATAGAAGGAGTAGAATATATACACATAAACAACGGTGTTTTATTATATACACGGGGTAAAAGATGTATAAATAGTCAATGGTGTTTCATTCTATATACAAAGTAAAACTTGTACAAACAAACAAATGTTTTTAATTCAGTATTTCTATATATATCTCTAAAAAATATTGAGTAATTCGCCCAATTAAACAGCTACAAGATTTATGGTGTTTATTTTAATTAAAAAAGACAATAAAACAGAATAAACTATATTATTTGGATAAAGCAATAGCTGGCATAGTGGCATTCATCATTTTATTTATTTATTTTTAATATCGTCTTTAAAATCGATCACTATTGAAAATTATCGGAGGCTGATATTCTCCTGTTTCGTCGACTTTGTGGGCTTACAGAATTTAAAAGAAAAAAGAAACCTATGAAGATCAGTGAAAACAAATCAATGTTTTGATATGGAGACGGGGAGAGAATTGATTCTGGGTCAGACTACACCAGAATAGTCTGCCCTTGTTTTGGAAAGTTGAAAAAAAAGCAACTTTGTTAGCTTTTCTTTGATGTTTCCGTGGCTTCCGTTTGCGTGCAGTAGGTCAAAGTGACCTCTGCAGTAGTGGGTCATGTTGACATTTATTGAATTAATGACGTACAGGGCGTCATTATCATATTTTTTAAATCATTGATGTGAATAATTCCTCACACTTTTGCTTTAAATTGAATTACTTAATTTAAATAGATTTTTTTTTGCTGACGAGCTGAAAAAGTAGCCAACATACTGTTTCACTTAACTGATGTAGATGAAACAATTCAATACGCTTTGTTAGAGTTACTAGCTGTAGTTACGTGTGTGGTTGTGGTTCTGTCTATAAAACTGTGTGGTTGTGGCTCTAAGAAAAACGGTGTGGCTATAGCACTGTCTATAAAACTGTGTGGCTGTGATTCTGTTTATAAAACTGTGTGGCTGTGATTCTGTTTATAAAACTGTGTGGCTGTGGCTCTATTTATAAAACTGTGGTTGTGGCTCTGTTTATAAAACTGTGTGGCTGTGGCTCTGTGTATAAAACTGTGTGGTTGATGTTCTGTTTATAAAACTGTGTGGCCGTGGCCCTAAGAAAAACTGTGTGGCTGTGGCTCTGTTTATAAAACTGTGTGGTTGTGGTTATGTTTATAAAACTGTGTGGCTGTGGCCCTAAGAAAAACTGTGTGGCTATAGCTCTAAGAAAAACTGTGTGGCTATAGCTCTAAGAAAAACTGTGTGGCTATAGCTCTAAGAAAAACTGTGTGGCTATAGCTCTAAGAAAAACTGTGTGGCTATAGCTCTAAGAAAAACTGTGTGGCTGTGGCCCTAAGAAAAACTGTGTGGCTGTGGCTCTGTTTATAAAACTGTGTGGATGTGGCTCTGTTTATAAAACTGTGTGGTTGTGGCTCTGTTTATAAAAGTGCGTGGCTATAGCTCTGTTTATAAAACTATGTGGTTGTGGCTCTGTTTTATAAAACGGTGCGGTTGACTGGTTGTGGCTCTATAAAACTTACTTTGTGGTTGAAACGTTATTGTAATAGCAGTATGGTTGTAAAGAAACTTCACTTCGTACTGAATAGTCTCACTATTATAATGAGCATTTACTTATGCCACTAAGTTCGATAAGCTTTTAATATCATAACAGGGCTAGATGTTAAAAAAACCAGTTTAGATTGCGAGGGAAAAGTACAACTTCGGGGGAACAGTGCCCCCACCCCCTTCAAAGAGATGCCTGAAAGAAACCCAGATATAGACAAAAATGCTGCTTTGGTAAAAGTTATCCCCTGGCTTGCTGGCATTTATGAGTTCACACCTGTCGGAGAATTGTTCCGTTAACTCAGTTTTTATGTTTTACAACTTCTCGTCAATTGTTCGGCTAAACCTTTAAAACGTCACCGCCATTACTGCATGAGGTACGGTTAAATGGTTTATTGTTTTTTTTAATAACCAGGACAATATTATATTTTTTTTCTGCCAGTATGGCTGTCTGATATAGGATTAGACTAGGGCTGGCGGTTCTGGGTAAGGATTAGGGCTCGCTGTTATGGGTTTAGATTACAGCACGTTGTACTGAGTTAGGATTAGTCAATGATTAGGGAAGGGCCACGATTATTTCTAAATCATGGTTATGACTAACTTTAGGATCAAAGTTAGGATTGGGTTAGCGATATTAGCGACATCAAACTGATTCGTAAACGTGCTGCCGGGGCAACTATAAGTAGTAAGTAAAGTTCCCTTTTAAACCAGACGGACAATGGGCAATAGAGTGAGAGTTCACCTGTTTCTGCGACCTCGGCATATGAAGGGATAGTGTGGTCAGCACTATGCCCAGCCGCTTTTATTCACCCTAACGTGAATTAGGTACACATCAGAGTTGGGTGGACTCAGGGTGGTCTACTGACTTGAACCCGGATTCGAACTCGAGACCTACAGGCTAGCAGTCTAGCTCCCTAAAGCTAAACCACAATAAATACTGCAAAACGTTGCATGGGTAAATTTTAAGTAAGTTTGAGTTTCCTAATTTATATTTGAGAAGTTGAGCATGTGTGTGTGTGAGTGCGTGTGTGTGTGTGCTTGAGTATGTGCGTGCGAGTGTGTGTGTGTGTGTGACAAGATTTCAGCCTAATGAAAACATATCTACCAAAGGAGTGCAAAAACTAACCATAATAAGATCCTTCTCCCTACCCCCCTCCCCAAGTTTTGGTTCTGTAGGTGACGTCATATTCACATATCTTACACCTGGCTGAACTTGTTGAATTAAGGAATTTTTTTTTTGTTCTCGTCGTTAATCGATAGAGTTTATTGATTAGGTGTTTTAAGCCAGATCCGATTGTAAACATGTTCAAACTTCGTGTATAGGAGAACAGAATGGGTGGGCGGGGGTGGGAGGTCAGAATAGTGGATTCTATGGTTTGGGGGGGGGGGGGGAGGTACAGTGGTTGGTTGTCTGATGGCATTGGGAGACACTCGTGGAGTGCTGAGGGTTTGTGTCGGGGTAGGTCATTTGTAAATGTCTGGTTGTGTGTGGTTGAAATGTCCGGTTAAATTAGCTAGCAGTTAAATTTCCGGTAAAATTAGTTAATAGGTTAAATGTCCAGTAAAATTAGTTAATAGGTTAAATTTACGGTAAAATTAGCTAGTAGATTAAATTTCCGGTTAGAATAGCTAGTATGTTAAATGTCTGGTTAAATTAGCTAGTAGGTTAAATGTCCGGTTAAATTAGCTAGTAGGTTAAATGTTCGGTTAAATTAGCTAGTAGGTTAAATGTTCGCTTAAATTTGCTAGTAGGTTAAATGTTCGGTTAAATTAGCTAGTAGGTTAAATGTTCGCTTAAATTAGCTAGTAGGTTAAATGTTCGGTTAAATTAGCTAGTAGGTTAAATGTTCGGTTAAATTAGCTATCGTATTAAATGTCCGGTTAAAATAACTAGAAAGCTAAATGTTTGGTTAAATTAGTAAGTAGGTTAAATGTCCGGTTAAATTACCTAGTAGATTAAATGACTGGTTAAATTAGTTGGTTAAATGTTCTGCGGTCTTGTGTGATAAAAGTTTGGTTGTAAGTACCGAGTGGAGTTTGGTGTCAAGTGTCTGGGGTGTTAATGGCTAGTGTCTGCTACTGCTTGGTTGTAAGGGTAAAGTAGTGTTCGGTGATAAAGGCCACTTGGTGGTTGGTGGTAAAGTGACTGGTAGTGCTTGGTGGTAAGTGGCTGGTAGTACTTGGTGGTAAGCGACTGGCTAAACTGTATCCTGCTTGTCCTTTGGTTTATGGTGGAAATCGGCTGTTGGTGTTATGTTGTGTGTGGTGACGTTTAGTGTCTATGTGCTGATGTTCTGTTGTAGATAGGTGATAGTCACCCGGAGTGGTATGAAGAAACTCCACTGGGGTGTTATGAAGAAACTCCTCTGCCTGTAAGTTTATATCAACCACCATTCGCGACAGCTAGACTTATAGCAATCAATTTGTATTTCTATGAATTTTAAAGTATAGTCCGGGTGCCGTCGCCCTCATTATCCAACTGGCAATTCCCAGCTAGTAGCAGAGTCTGATTTTAACACGACCCCCTGCCACCAGCATAGATTGAATTCAGCACGACCCCAACTTAAACGTGCGAGCATTTCTTTCGTTTCGATTTAAAAACGAATTAATCATGCATAATACACGGCATTGTCGACGTGGTAGAGATCTGGATCTGACCCGGGCACCACTCAAGCTGGCGGGTAGGTAAAGATCTGAGACGGCATTAAGTATTCATGTACAGGACGGCAACTGCTGGTGGTCGCGTTGGTGCTGGTGGTGGAGGTGCTGGTGGTAGTGGTGGTAGTGCTGCTGTTGGTGGTAGTGGTGTTGATGTTGGTGCTGGTGGTGTTGATAGTGCTGCTGCTGGTGGTGGTAGTATTGTTGGTGCTGGTATTTGGTGGTAGTGGTGGTGGTGTTGGTGCTGGTATTTGGTGGTAGTGGTGGTGGTGTTGGTGCTGGTATTTGGTGGTAGTGGTGGTGTTGTTGGTGCTGGTGTTGGTGGTGTTGGTAGTTGTGCTGGTGGTGGTGATGCTACTGCTGATGTTGGTGTTAGTGGCAGTGGTGGCAGTGTTGATGTTGGTGGTGGTAGTGGTTGTGATAGTGGTGGTGGTGCTGCTGCTGCTTGAGGTGTTGGTGGTAGTGGTTGTGGTGCCGGTGGTGGTGTTGATACAAATTGACTAATGTCAATATACACCGCAGTCATTCAAAATAACTAAGTCATCAAACAACACGACTAAGTCATCATACAACACGACTAAGTCATCATACAACTTGACTACGTCATCATACAACACGACTAAGTCATTATACAACACGACTAGGTCATCATACAACCCGACTAAGTCATCATACAACACGACTAAGTCATCATACAACTTGACTAAGTCATCATATAAAACGACTAGGTCATCATACAACACGACTAAGT